AGTCTTATATTGTAATGAATATGCTCTTTGTGAGTCCATTTAATGGAAATAAAACGTCTTTCTATGCACCACCTACGATAGTAGTAGGGGCATTATGTTTGCTGGTCTGTGCGTCCGTTCGTTCGTCCGTCCGTTCTTCCGTTCGTCCGTCCGTCTGTTCCGCTTCAAGTTAAAGTTTTTGGTCAAGGTAGTTTTTGATGAAGTTGAAGTCTAATCAACTTGAAACTTAGTACACATGTTCCCTATGATATGATCTTTCTAATTTTAATGCCAAATTAGAGTTTTGACCCCAATTTTACGGTCCAATGAACATAGAAAATTATAGTGCGAGTGAGGCATCCGTGTACTATGGACACATTCTTGTTATTTCTATAGTTATCAATAGATCATTAACTGATTAAGTGCTAAATTCAAATGTGTAAACGCCAAAGAGACATCAACCTAACGACACAAAACCAAACGATATTTAGAGAGCAACAAACAGTCTTCAACGATAGGCAAGTGTTTGTAGAATACAACAATAACAACAATATTGTTTATTACTAAATATAGGTCCACAAGTGGCATAAGAAGCATATAGAGGAATCGAGAATATTGATTGTTGACCGAAATGTTAAAATGCTAACGCTTCAAGAGAAAAGAAAGGTTTTATCAAGATGAAGACGGAATGGATGACATATATATGAACTGGAAATAAACAGGAACAGCTGACATGAAATGAAGATGAACATTAACAATTCTATATTTCATATGAAATACAAAAGGCATTGGAATGGACAAAACGGGAAACAAATTATGACTGCCATTAAACAAATTATGAAGTCTGTGGCTGTTACGAGCCCCTACGATCTCCAGGTTTTATCACTTGCTTGTACTTATTCATTAAATGTTGATCAATATCGTTTTAATTTTGTGAAGGATCCAGGTTGAGTCTGTGGATGTGTAGTTGCAGACTCAATACAGTATTTCCTTAAATGCTCTTTTTGTACATTGACACGCAAACAGCTGAAAATTATAATAAACTTCCTAAGGGAATTAAAAACTGAAATTTTACTTTTTGAAGATGATGCTTTGTCTTAAGATTTAAATGTTAAAATTGAATAGTAAACAAACAAAACTTTTTGACAGGAATTGATCACAAAACATTTTTGTATTATTCATTTTATCTTACCAGCCCTTCTCGCCGTTTGATCTTTTCATACTTCAGTAGACAATTCCATCATGCCGTATGAGTGTTCAGTTCCTTTTTATTTCATACAATTGATTTGGGTTTTTTTCCACATTCAATATATATTTACATATGTGTTGATGATGAATATGTTTTTGTTTGTTTATTAACTGGAGATGGCATTTGTAAGTTTAAACGCTTTTGTTTATTTTTTCGCAATGAAATATACCTTAACTAATCAGTATTTATTATGAAAGAAAATTATATGAAACTGACTGCTTTTGTATATAAGTAATGCATATGAGTATTTGGAGCAGGACCATATAAGTGTATGGTCATATGATCCGACCATAATGGTATGGTCCGGGTAATTAACACGTGTACCTTTAATACTGTCGATTTCATAAGGTCATAAAAAAAGACTTTATAAAATTTAAATTTGGAGCTATTTAATTAGATGGTAATCATTACTAGATAAATTAGATAATGAAGTTTACTCCAAAGTTAAAATAATAGTAAAGTACATTGTCGTTATCGGTTTGTTATTGCTAAAGGCTTCGGAAGATAACTTCAAAAATATCTTAATTCATGTTAAGCAAGAGGTCAATTGTTTTACTAACTGACGAAAAGTCGACAGAATAAAGGCTCTTGACTTTTAATCGAAAATAGCAAATACAAAAAAACGATAATATGTCTGAAGGTTTCAGCTGGTAGCTTGTGCCGAAAGTAACAAGTACAAAACAAATTGTTCTGAGAAACACTCAATGTTTTGCTCACCTGGTCCTATCTATTGCCATCACTTGGCGTCCGGTGTCGTCGTCCGTCGTTGTCGTCGTAAACTTTTTCAAACGTCTCCTCCTCTAAAACTACTCAACCAATTTCAACAAATCTTAGGGTGAATGATCCTTATGGTATCAAGTAAAAAGTGTGTGTTTTTTTTTATTCCGGTCAGTCAACAAAGATATCCGCAATGGCAAAAAAATGGAACATAGGGGGTAACATACATTTTTTGGCTGACATTTTAGCAGTAAGAGCAAAACTGACTAGAAATGATCAGCAGGTCAAGATCTATTTGTTGGAAACTTTTCAGACTAACCAGATACCCCAATTTGGAGTTATTGCCTCTGAAATAGTATTTTTTATGAAATTTCTCAGTTATTGGTTATTATCTTGAAAACTATTATAGATACAGTAAAATGTAAATGTACAAAGTTAGATCTACCAATAAGTCTAAGGACCGAATTCGTCAATATTGATCCCCTATAAGAGTAAATTATATTTATTAAAAAAATATTAAAAATCTAAGGTTTTAAGGTTATCAGAAACTATGATAGATAAACAGAAACTTTGAAAGGCAAACATTTTCAGCAAAGTAAGACCTGCAAATAAGTCAACATGACCGAAATTATCAATTAGAAACTATGATAGATACGTCAATTGATCCCTTATATGAGTTATTGACCGTGAAAGATGCAATGGTTTTAGATTTTTTTTACATATATGATAGATAGAGATAATTTTTAATTTTTTAAAAGGCAAAACTGTTCATCAAAGTAAGACCTACAAATAAGTCAAATAACCAAAAGTGTCAATCAAGCCCTTATATTAAAGAGTTTTTGCCCTAAAAAGATAACGTTAACCATTTCTTTTATTTTTTTTGCAGAAACTATGATAGATAGAGGGGAACGTTATACGTGCCATGTTCAAACACACATTAACATACATTAAACAGAAATCATTGATGCAAGAGCTATACAAAAAATTCCAGCTCTTATGACCCACTTGTTTTATGAATAGTCTTTAAAAATTCGTTGAACTTCGTGGAACTTCTCAAGCAGTTAAACTGTTTTTATCAATAATAGATTATGAACATATAACACCTGAGAAATTACATTTTATAGTTTAAAGCAGGTTTTTTTCGAAATAGAGTCTGAGTTATAATTTTGTTTTAATAATATGCAAAACCGTCATAATAAACTTGTTTGACTTTTTCGAATATTTAAATTCAACGCTTGCAAACCTTTCAGTATACGATGGACACTTCTTCTGGGGTAGTGAACAAGTATGTTGGAATTTCTCAGACACCCAGATTAATCCAACTCCAGATAAGTATCATATTGTAGGTCGCGTGAATACCTGTATTCAATTGAGGATAAACTATTGACTTGCAGGCCAATTATAAATAAGCGTTGTTTTTGAGCCTTTTGTGACAATATTTAACCAAACTTACTGATAATATCGAAATAGTATTTAAAAATTCCTTTTTTTTAGTCTAAATCGTAGCTAGTACCTTTTGAAAATACTAGACAAGTTAAAAAAAAATCAATATTTCTGTTTTAAATAAAAGGGCATACGATACAGTTACAGGGGAGGTAATGACGTTGCTAACGTAATATGTTATTTTTCGCGACGTCAAACTGCAACATATCGGGAAAAGATGCATTTTTCGAGTGATTTTAATCATTAACTTCAAAAAGAGTACATGGACACCTCTTTTTTAAAATGACATTTGACTTGATACTGAATGAAGATTATTTGTTCAAATTTTTATGAAAAATATAACCGATGAATTTTTTTTTTTAAATCAGATAAATATGCAGCTAAGAAATGTCGTTTTTTACTAAAATCATAAAATATTAATAAAAATAAATTAATTGCATAGAATTGTTACACAAGTTAAGAGCAAACTTTAACAAAGAAGTATTCCAAATCTTTTACAAAAATCAGCATGTTTTTTTCTTTTGAAAAAAAAATTACGTATGTCTGTCCAAAGGTTAGCAATGTCCAAGAAACCGTAACTTTAAGTAAATGTCTAAATTTTCGACCCCATTAAGCTCTAAATTTAGCACAGTAAGGTATATTTTTTATTACATATTTGAATTAAATAAGTGAATATAGCTTGTATGCAAATTTTCGCAAAAAAATCACCGTGGGATCAAAACTGTATCGTATGCCCCTAATGTATTTCATTTCTAGAAAATGCCTTATAAGACCTTAAGGTTTACAAATACAAGAGAAGGGCCTATGGTAACATGAAGCTGTTATGGTACGCGAACACTCGTGAGGTGGACTGAAAAATGATAGAATATAACACTCTTTATTAAAAATCCGTTTCCTAATTAGTATTTGACCCAGTTTGAATAATAATTGGTGTCTACCATTGTTTTTAAATAGAGACAATAGACAACCAAGTGTTACATTAGTATGATGCTTTATTTGTGGTTTGCGATGACATTTGACTACGTTGTCTTTTATCAACAATATACATGATATCAAAGGAGGACGTTTTAGATATGTACCCTTGTCTCATTAAGTTGTCATCTATATCGAAATGATAAGTTATGCTGTCTGTAGTCGTTTTATACAGGACAGTTCGCAAAATGTACCGGAATCTTCAAATTGTCACAAGTTATATATCATTGATTGTTTTGTCCTGATTGATTCTTGGCGGTTTTGAGTTGTTGGAATTTGATTACATAATATTGTGATTGTGTTTTCCTCAATACAAGGCTTCTGTTGAAATAATATGAATGAGGGTCTGTATTGTATTGGGTTTACAGAAACGGGAACAATGTGCCCAAAAAAAATATTAAATAAATTGACAAAAATCAAGAAAAGGAATAGCGGCGTTTTAAAATATAAAGAATAGAGAATAATGGGTAATGAGAAAGAACACAGAAAAAAGGTCTAAAACGGAAATAAAAAACCCTCACACAAACTATCATAATTAAAACAATCAATGTGGCATAGTCTCAATTGATTTTTCAGGCCTCCATTATATTGGAAACAAATGTTCCTGAAATTTTTAAATGTAAGGAATAAATGAAATGAGTCAATCTTTAAGTTCAATTTATTTGATTCAGATTTTGTAGCCACTAAAGGTTGACCATTTATCTCCGATCATGTATAAACCTCCACTATGAACTCTGATAGATGCTTTGTCATTTTTCTTCATTTGTAAAACAGAACTCTGACTAGATGGCATGTTTGTAGACATCCCTGTAGCTCCAGCATGATTTTTTGCTACAACAATGTCATTCAGTTTTAATTGTGTGTAGAAAGATTTGCCATAGTAAGCAAGAACTGTCCAGGAAAAGTAGTAAAGGCCTTCTACAGGTGCAGTGAACACACCAGTTGACTTATCATACCCTCCTCCGAGGTTGGTAGTTACAGTGTCGTACACAACGATAGCACCATTACCAATATTCTGCAAAGATCCTGAATTCGATACCAGAAAACCAACCTTTCCAAAACCTATTAAGAAAAAAGTAATCGGGATCATATGTTTTTTCAGTATTTTCAGAACAATTAGAAGGTACGTGTTACAAATTGAGTAAGAACATAGATTAACTCTAATTTGAGGGGTCAAAATTTTTTATCATTTGTAACTTTTACAATTTCGGAAAATAATTTGCTTCTAAAGGAGTAGTGTCATCTCCGCTTAATATTTGTATATGTGGGTTTGAATATTGAAAATGTAATTTCGAAGCAGAACAAAATATCTTCAACTCCAAATAGGTTGCTATACACTACACGTCAATCTCTAAGACGACCGCTCTAGGAAAGCTGTGAATGAATATAACCAAGATTATTAAAAATTTGGTATTCATGCCATCTTGAAATTATTACGTAACAAATATCGGTTCTAATTGGTTGCCTTATAATTTAGGAAAGATTCTATTGGCTAGAATGAGATATAGAATTGGGAACATGTCCCGGACAGGGGGAGATTTCAAATACGAAAAAAATACAGTATGGGTATTCAAGATCCGATCCGAAACCCGATTAATGAATTATTTTCTCATTCAGTTTATTTTGATTATTTGATAATGTTGAAGCGATATGGATAAATGAATGCTCAATTTCGTAATTACGTCGCACTACTGTGCGAAGCTATAAGTTTCATTCAATATTCACGTCAGGGGGGATATCTAATACGGAAGATAAGGAATTAAATTACAGTATGGGTATTAATTGTTGCTACATGTTGGCGTAAGTTATGATACTGCGAAGTACTCCAGATCTTTTTAGAAAGCTTAAACTTGTTATCGTTATATTCAAACTTACTCGGAGATGAAGGACTGTGGTTACAATCACACTTTCCGTCATTATCTTCCACAAGTTTCAACTGGTACTGAATACTCTTCATGAGAATGGCGTTCCTTGAACAGGATTTGTGACAGCTCCCGCCTGATGTCAGGATGGAGGTCAGTATTGTAATGACGATTGGATTAGGAAAGCTATAAAAACAGTATTTTTAACTCTAAAAATATTTCATGTCTATACGTTTGTCGTTACAAAGTTTGGAGACTACTGCAGTACCCACGTTTACATTTATAGTTCTAAAAAAGGATGCATGTCCATCACAGTGTGATTGGTAGGTAAGGTGGAGATGTGATTCAAATGATATTGTTTAGCCGTTAAATCAACGTCAATTTGTTTATTTTTTAGAATAATAAATGGCCTACAGTAAAACGTCAATGATACAGAAACTCTACATTTCAATAAAACAAATAAGAGGTTAACATGAGGTTACAACAAACATATACTATATTATATACAGCTTTACCCGGGCATAAAGCAAGCGCTACATCGCTCGAAATAAATATATCCATTCGCTGACCTGGCTCCTCATTTAGTGCAGGCACATTGAAAAACCAACAAAATTCGTGCTTAATAAATACGTCTTAAAAAAGTTGATATGACTTAGCTTTAAGTGCATGCACATTGATAAATCAACAAACTTCGTGCTTATTACGTCTTAAAAAAGTTGATAGTTAGACGCATAGAATAAGCAGAAAGTCCTAACCTTTTCCCTTTTTAAAGCTTTATAATACTAGAATAATTTTCTGTCACGTCTATATGGTTTTTTTCTTTCTTTTTTTTTTTATTTCAATTTCATAAAAAAAATCATGCGCTTATAATGTTTGTTATGGAACTAAATATTTTTTACTTACATCATTTTGAATCCTCAGTATTGATGAATTAAAACAGGTGCCTTGCTTTTGTTTTTTGATTGTGTATTACACACATTGAAGATGTATTCAATTGAAGACTTTTAATATCACCATGATCATGCAATCCAAAAAGGTTAATTGAAATCCATTCTTGGCAGAGTTTTCAAAAACTAACAGCTGTTATGTTTTCCCAGAATTGCAAGTCACGACAAAAAATAAATAAAATTTCTTCTAAACAATTTATAAAATTTTATGCTTATACTATAGTGTTACCAACTTGCTGATTCTGTATTGACCCATGTATTAATTCAAGGTCTGCTGTATTGGTCCAGAAGGCCGTAGGGCCGAGGGCTTGTACAGCTGACCGAGAATCAATACAGGGCCAATACAGGATCAGAAGGTTCGTAACACTTTTATTAGATAATCAAAACAGTATATATGGCTGGTCCGTATGGCCAGTCCGTATGACAGGAAGTAGCTACAGCTGGTCCGTATGGCCAGTCCATATGACAGGAAGTAGATACAGCTGGTCCGTAAGGCCAGTCCGTATGACAGAAGGTAGCTACAGCTGGTCCGTATGGCCAGTCCAAATGACAGGCAGTAGATACAGCTGGTCCGTATGGCCAGTCCGTATGACAGGAAGTAGATACAGCTGGTCCGTATGACCAGTCCGTATGACTGGAAGTAGATACAGCCGGTTCGTATGGAAAAACTTATTAACCGGGCCAAATAGCCGTATTAAACGTATGGTTAATATGAGTTGATCTTTTGAATTCCATATTAGTCATGCTGATTTTAGCATATTAGAGCGAATTTAAACATATTATTTAAATATTTAATAAATGTTTTTACACTTAAAAGGCAAAAAATAAATATATTTAATATATATATACCCTTGTTTAGTGGCTAGCTTCATAAAGCGGATGTGGATCTTTCCACATTGAAAAAAAAACAACGGGGAGTCATTTTGGTTATTTATGTCTCTTGGGATGTTGTCTCGTCGAATTATAACAAACACATCCTTTTTAGCTTTGGTGTTTTGTTTTTTTTTTTTCGATAAGCGACAAAGGCACAGAGAATAACGCACGATAAAATTCAAAATTAATTTCAGAAAACGTTATGAGTTATATTTCCTGACGTTATTGTACAACGTTCATACCAGTCAATGGAGCAGGTTCCATCGTGTTTCTGTATGGCGGTTGACGACACAATACATTTAGGCTTTTATCGCGAAATGAACAAATAAATAAATTAACCTTTTATTTTTAATAAACATTTCTAATAGTAACTTTGCATAGATGCAGAGTGCCGAGAAATTTGATGCAATAAATTATCTGACATTCATCTTTTCATTCTTTTCATTTAAATATACTTTATAAATGTTCTGTTTCTTTTGATAAGTTAGCATTTGTCCGGTTTATCTATATATGTGTTCTTATGCATAACAGACTGAGCTTTTTATTCTGGGTTGGTCAGTTTTTATACGCCCGTTTACGGGACGTATTATAGTATACCGTTGTCTGTCTGTCTCTCCGTCCATCTGTCCGTCTGTCTGTCCATCCGTCGTCAACATGTCGGACAATAACTCAAAAACGCTTTAACCAATTTGCATGAAACTTTGGTGAATTATTTATATCTATTGACGGAAGCTCCCTTTTGATTTTTATAAATTTTAGAGTTTACGTTTTCGAGTTATGGGGTTTTATTCATTTAAAAAGGGGGGGTTTCCAGTTTTCTGACAATAACTTTGAGCAGTTTTCATGAAACTTTGGTGAATTGTTTATATCTGTTGACTTAAGCTCCCTTTCGATTGTTATAAATTTTAGATTTTACGTTTCCCAGTTATGCGATTTTATTTTTTCGGACAAAAACTCAAAAGTTCTTTGGTGACTGGTTTATATCTATTAAAATAACCTCCCTTTAGTTTGTTTTACAAATTTCTGATATGACCATGAGGAGTCCTGGAGCATTCGTTGAAAAGCGACGGGCGTATATCATACGCTCATGGCGCAGCTCTTTATTTTTTTTTTGCAGTACATTCTTATTAATGATGCACGCCGTTTCCGAAGAAATTTTGTTTTGGAAGTAGACAAATTATAGAAACGCATGATAATGTGTGAAAATACGAGGAATTATACCACAATTAAAAAAAGAAATTGTAAGAAGAGTAGTTGAACTTGGCTATTTGGCCGAACAACTTTCCCTATGTTTCAAGTGTAAACAGTCTTTGAAATTTATTGGACTGTACAGAAAAATCCGATATGGAAGCTTGTTTAAAATAAACTACTTGCAATGAAATTGTATAAGCACAGTATACACAGGACAGCTACATTGGAATGAGGAGAAAGTTAACAAAGGCTTAAATATATGGGATGTCAACACTAATACTGCACTCGGTTAAGACGAAATAAAACTAAATCATTCAGATCCCGTCACATTTTTACTTCAATTCCATTCTGAAATAAATTATTACAATCAAATGATTTATTAAAAACCTGTGGTCCCACAATAAATGAATGGTGCTTCGATGAAGGTAAATCCAAAAAAGCGCTTCGAACGCAAACAAATTGTAAAACGATATTTTCATTTTCCTATTTTATTCAAACAGCAAAAACAAACTGATTAAAAAAACAGAGTTCCAATACCCCTGCGTTGCACATATTGTCCATGGACATTACAACTAAAAAAAAAATTATGTTTGGTTTTTTTATTTTTTTTTTATAAATATCGTTATTAGAGAAATGAAGGCTTGAGAGCAAATGCAATACAATTTTCTGATAAAATAAATATTTCGAAGGGGCATTACTCTTTTAAAAATATTTGATCAGCACTGACTTTCTAAATTATCCAAGACAATGCTAATATAAACCTTTGATATAAATTTTATAAAAATCTGGCAAAAAGTGTACACGTGAGAGCGCTTACAATGCAATTTTCATAAAATTATAATAATTCGAAGGGGTATAACTCTTTTAAAAATAATTGATCGGTACTGATTTTCAAACTTGTCAGCAACAATGCTAATATAAACCTAATATATCAGATTTATAAAAATCTGGCAAGAATTGTACACGTGAGAGAGCTAACAAGATCGGACGGACAAACGGACGGACTGAAGGACGTCCGCGGGGAACAAAAAACCAACGTGATCTTAAAATCGTTTTGATTTTAGATTCATATCAATTTGCACTTTGGTCTTCGGGGATGGGTGTGTTTTTGGTGTTTTGAGTTGGACATGATATACAGGTACAGCTGGTAAAAACGCACCTTTTCAAGTGGGGAGACAAAACGACTCACAGATGATTAGCAAAGGTGCCTTTTTGGGGATGAACATATTGCTCACATAGGTGTCGGGAAAAGCCCGAGAGTATTCGCATTCTTATAAAGAGTTTTTACAACAAGTATAAAAAGTGTGTATGTAAATTAAAAGGGTTGTTATTTCTTTGTGTGCATAAATGGAAATGTGGGATGTAAAATAAAACAGTAACTGGCCAATTAATAGAATTTAAGTCTTGTACTTAAATTCAGTTATCACGGTGCGCTGTACCATATATGTTTTGGTTGGTTATTAGTGAGTTTAAGTATATCATAATCTCATTGGTGGTTACTGAACCTTAAAATATGACGTAACGAGCCTTTTTCAATTTGGATCCAAAGAAGAAGGCAGAAGACAATTGAACTAAAATATAAAACCAAAAGAAATAGATAAATTTTAATATTGTCAGGGAATATTTAGAATTATTTAAACCTTTGAAGTCATATCTGGTTTTACTAACGCAAGTGAGGTGTTTCGTCATATAGGGACGTTAATTATGAATTATTTTTGAACATATGCTGACTGAAATACAGAAGCACAAAGCGACCACATGGAAAAAAAGGGGAAAAATCATTCCTCGAAGTTTATTACCAAGATAATTTATTTGAATATTGGGTTTTATTTATAGATTGGTCATCCTTTCGATTAGTTCAGCACTTCTCACTAATAAGATGTATTGCGCCCATGTTTTTCTTGCGTGACTACTCTTATTAAATAAGATGTGAGGCTATTCTTAAATGCCTTTGCATCATCTATATTTAATAGTTTTGTTGGTAAGCTGTTCCAGCCTTTGATGATAAGAGGAAAGAATCTGTATTTGTGAGTGTTGGTTGATGTTAGATGATTTCTGAATATATATTGGTTGTTGTCCTGTATTGATGTTCTATATTATCTGGCATATTTATGGCTAGTTTATGATGTTACAGTAGTATTTTATGAAACAGGCAGAGCTTTTTGATTTTTCGTCTGGTTTCTAATGACGATAATTTTAATTCCTAAAGTATGGTAGTGACTGAACCAGTTTCTCTACTGTATTTACGTTTAATAAAACGTACTTATCTTCTTTGCACTATTTCTATCTATTTTTATGTGATTTTCCTGGTATGGATCCCAAGCACTGCTGGCATATACTACATTTGGTTTTACAATAACGTGATATGCTTTATTTTCCTTTTTTTACCGGGAATTTATTGATATTTCTTCTCAGGAAGCCTAATAATTTATTTGCTTTAGCTACGATGTTATTGATATGTACATTCCAATGTCAGGTTGATGGTGAACGAAACTCATAAATATGGGGTATGGTCTACCGGTATTAAAAAGTTAAAAATTTGATCTTGAATATATCTTAATTATGGTGTTTCCTTTAAATCTTTGACAAATTATTGCAAGAATTATTTAGTTAAATATCTAAATAGACCAGGAATAATAAAGGTCCAAGTGTAGAACCTTGTGGAACTCCAACGCTGCAGATATATAACCAGATACAATGGTTCCTATTAACTTTTTGCATTATCCGAACGAGTTAGGATGAACGATTTTACAGAATAGAAGTAAAATAGCAGTAAGATTTCCAGTACCTTGTACAACTTCATCATTTGTGACAGTTTTTCATGGAAATTTAACATCATTGTTCATTTTAGATTTTACGTAGTTCTGGAATTTCTCAGATTAAAACTAGTGATGATT